AGCTTTTCTTGGTGAGTGTGAGAAGCTGATTTCTGACTTTAAACAGAACAATTATGTTCAGTTAATACCCAATTAATTCCAGAAATCTAACCAGAAAAGCAGTCGGTGGGTTAGGAGGCTGATATACCAAAATCAAATCAATAGTACAGTTCTTCCCTGGGCCGGTATGAGGTGCAGGAATTATACCTCTTGCACAGGGAACAATTTACCTTAAATTAGTAAACTACAGCATTTAAACTGTGCTGCCTGAAGCGCTTGTTTGTATTTCTGTTGTGTTAATTGTGTGGTGTTAATTTTTATTTTAGTCCAGACCTGGAATTCCTATCCAGAATTCACTTGGTTTAAAAGAACCTACAAACTCAAAGCTACTGCTGCATCAAATTGGATTTTCTTTCACCTTCAATTTTCATCATGTCTTATGTTTCTAGATCTATTAATTTCAAAGTTATAATGGCTTGTTTGTTGTCTGAGCTGCTGTGTCGTCCTAGCGGCCATGGATTGCCCTCAAGTCCATTTCTGCATTGGTTGTACAAAAAGCACCTGGTGTATGAAACAGCACAGGGCATGTGATCTGTAAATGTGTACAAGATCAGGAGAATCTTTCATTCAAAACCAATTCTGTAAATCTATGAAACCCGTAGTCCCTTCATGTAGTACAAAGGCCATTCAGCTTTTTTAGGGCATCATATGAAATCCGAGCATTTATTATGGCATCAGTTTAGGGAATCTATCTGCTGGTATTTCTGTGCCAAAGATATTTTCTCTTCTTTTTCATGAGATGGCTGTCAGTGAGTTTTAGCAAGTACAAGAGCCCTATCTTGATAAGCAGGCGTCTGTAGGCTGCTAACTGTGAATTTCGAAGCCTAAATGTCTGCAGGTTCTTTTGTTTTAAATACAATTTTGTATTTGGTTTTATAGTAATAAAGTACTGACTGCACTACGAAATTCGAATGAGTGACAATTCTCAGCTCTGCGTGTATTATAAGAATCCTGGAATCCTGGAATCTCTGACTGTGTTCTAAAAGCACAGTTGAATATCATTTCATGGTGGCGAGGGAGCTGGAGTCTATCCCCAACCAATGGGTGCCAAAGACAGATAAATCCTAGACAGAAAACCCAGTCCATCACAGGGTAGACACAGACACACACACTAGGTTTTTTACCTATGGGAGGGAACCAGAGCACCAGTAGGACACCCACGTGAACTTGAGGAGTACATACAAACTCCATACAGACAACATCCTAAGTTCAGAATTGAACACATGGTTCTAGGACAGCTAAGGAGTGCCACCTTGACATCTGACATTAAAGTAGTGTCCTTAAATTTCTTAAAATGGATACAACAGTCTTTTATAAGCATTCTCCAACTTGTGGAAGTCGATGGCCAGTTTCCTGCTGTTTGTAGAGATATCCATGAGAGATAGGCATTATGGTGTATCCTGCTATAGAATGTTTTCCTTATGTCACCTCATTTAATATCCCAGTGCCCCAGTGCGGTAACGCAGCAATGCTAGCCACAGCATCACTATGCTGCAGCTATTGTCACTTATACATAGTATTTCTCTTCAGAGAGAACAGTCAACTAACAAAACAGTCAATGTTTGAACAAAGCTAATGATTTATTACTTTCTTGACTCTGATAATTCATCCTGAAGTATACATTCATGTGTTTTGCTACAGTAATTAACAAAGTCAGCATAGTGCAGGGGTTCTGGTTTCAGACTCCTAACCAGAGGATTGTGGTTTCAAGTTCCCACTGTGAAAACTGCTATTGTGCCCATGAGTAATCTACTTTAATCTGAAGTTTTCCAGTTCAGCCTTTTTCTATAAAAGGACATCAGTATTTCTGAAAAAACTGTATACATTGTAATACACTAGCATGCCATCCAGGGAAGGCTCCCACAGTTTCAGTTCACATAAAGCTCCAGAAACTGGAATATGTGGAGCAATTCTCTGGGTCCATTTCTGTGTTACCTCTTCATATGAGACTCAAACTTCTCTTTTTTCAGACTCAGGCATGTTTTCTTCCTGAGCTTCTCTTTATTTATGTACTTATTACTGTATTTCTTCTACTCTGAAGCCCCATGTCACCACCATGTTTTTGGATAACTTGTATACAGACTCCCTCCCTCTTACTCTCCTCTGTTATTCATGGGTGTGGCCTCTCTGGCTGTATCTGTACAAAGATCAAATGTTCCACTGTCACATAGTGGCAGCTAATGTTGGTAAGCAGCCAAATAATGCAGCTAAGCAATGAATGCAAGGGAATGCAGTGGAATTCAGCACTCAGAAATCAGCAGGCACATCTGCTTGACCCTGTTCTAAGCTCACAGTCTGTAAAATAAGTGGGTATTTACCACCACTGAAGACATCCAGAGTAAACAGGATATTAATCTACATTCACCCACACCGTGAGTTTAATGACTGACCCACTGACCTTCCCTTGGCCACAGTGGGTTAGGACAATGTCAATTGCCACACCACCTGGTGCAGTTTCATTTTTACAAGCCCTGGTAAATGTACGCCACCCCATCTGCTGCCTTTAGGGCTTCATAATGTTTCAAAACTCAGGCCACCATTTTGAAAATTTACACATAGTGTGGCAACTGCGATGCTAGATTTTTTGTTGAGGAAGCTAAGAAGGCTAGCAGCCAGAATAAAAAAAAAAACACAACAGTTCATGTCAGACATTTTGCTCGTTCCTGACTTGTGTTTTATTATTTGGAACTGGTGATATTCACACAGTTCATGAATATCTCGGAAATCTAGAGACATTGCTTAAGAGTGTCATAGCTAGCCAGTCATGTTTATTGAAACAGTGAAAGGATAAATGAACAAATAAACAAAACATTGTTTCGCTGTCAAACTTAGGTGTACAGAATACTGTGGCTGAAATGTATGTTTAGGTGGAGCTATATGTTCATATATTTTATTATACAAAAGTCATATATGGTGATGGATATCTATTTTCTGTAATGCCCAGCAATTATGGGGCACAGGGTGGGACCACTCCATGAAATGCCAGTCCTTTATGTGGCACATATGTACACACAATCACACACCCATTCACACAAACACATATACTCTTGTTTAGTCCCACATATACACACGTGAACTTACTCATACTGTCCATGCACACATTCATTCACACATCCACCGACTTATGTGCCTGGACACATTCATTCAAACACATACTGTACACATTCACATACAGTCACACAGATGCACTTGCATTCATTAACATGCATATAGATTCACTCACACATGCAAATGCATTCACATACATGTATACATATTCAAACACATACGCATTCGCATTCCAGATGCAAATTATCCTGGAGAACATTCCCTTGGACTGGGGAAGGAAAATGGATTATTCAGAGAAGACATAAAAATGAATAAACAGTATGTAGTTGTATTTTGTTATATTTGATATATATAACTATTCTTCTTCTCGACAGGTCTTTTTACATTTTGTAAATGACAAATGAGAGTAGTGGTGGTGGTGGGCTTTTAAAATTTAAAATGTTCAGCTTCCTGAGAGCAACATCACTCAAGACTGCAGAGCCTGAATGTGTGCTCTCCAGGCGCTGGACTTTTTTATATCTCTTAACTGTTGCAAATTGAGCTCACAATGTGGTATACTAATAAGAAAATGTGAGATGTGATACGAATAAGGAAATAGTAGCAACTGGTGATAATATTCAAAGTTTTATGATACAGTGTTCAGTAGTGTTTTAAGGGAAAGTGGCAATATGCATTGTTACTGGTATATTAAATCCATTTTTCAGGTAAGCTAAATCCTGAGGGCTGGGTTCTGTTGTATAATTTTCAATATGCCTTTCTAGGCCTGTGACACTGCTTGGTTTATTCTAGGTATTGTGAGAGTTTGGGATCATGCAGGGTTAACAAATGACTAAATCTTCTATAGATTGTGAAAGTCCTTGGGGTTTTTTCTTTGTTTATATTGAACACGGGAAAAAAAATCAAACATCAGGCAATAAAAAATATCATTTAAAGGACAGTCAAAGAGAAAAAAAGTCAAGTAATGAATAGTTCAATGCATTGAGCCTTACAGAAATATAACCATCCTTCTCTGTATGAAAGAAGAATCAAGCTGACCTGCAAATAAATGATGTAGTTCACCCTCAAACCAGAACAAACTCTTTCTCTGCCACAACAGGTCCAACACATTTAAAATTGCTACAAAATTCCTCCCAACTTATTGACAGTCACATAAAATGTATTAATGGTTCCATCAGTCTCAGCTATACTCCCTGCAGCCATCACACTGTGGAAAATTTTATACCTTGTGCTTTTCAAGCTATGAAAAATGTACCTGTACAATTTGGTCGTATATACATGCTTCTATTAAAAAAAACAAGCATGGTGGGAGTGAGATAGAGGGATTACTGTTTATTTACAAAAAAGTCTGCCACCAGCAACGGTAGATATTTCTGCAGTATTATATTAGTGTTTTAACAGTGCACGCCGAGGCTGTGGTTGATACACCAGACTCATATTCCTTTTCCTTAGGAAAAAAAAAACAGGATTGCATACAGAGTAAACATGAACTTTATCATCTGTCCCTGCCCCCAAGCTTGTTTGCTGGTGTCAAGAGTGTTATCAGTAGACAAGTGTTCACTGTTCTGCTAGCAATCCAAAATGATTGATTCCATGTGGAAAATAAATGCTTTCCACACTTTCAGCATAGCAACCAGAGGTACCACAGGCCTCCACAGTATCAAGCAATTCAACAAATCCCCCTTTGATTACAAATGTGCCCTGCGCATTATTGAAACAAGGTATGGGAATATGATACCATACATGACTTTATAAACTATGCAGGCTCTGCTTTTATTAAACTATTGACAGATTCACGTTTTAACCCTTTCCACAAATTCTTCTCAGGACTGCTTCTCCCTGGTGACCCTTTCATTCTTCTTCATGTAAAAATGTCACTGGGGTATCTCAGACACTGTCTCCTCTATTTCTTTCAGGAGGGGTGTGCATCGCCCAGTCTGTGAAAATCCCACGGGAGCCCAAAACCGGGGAGTTTGACAAGATTATTCGGCGGCTCAAAGAAAACGCCAATGCCAGAGTGGTCATCTTGTTTGCAAATGAGGATGACATCAAGTAAGTAGCATGCAGAAGGAAGTAGGGGCTCTGGAGGAGTTCAGAATCTCTAGCAAGCTCCCTCTGGAGCACAGTCACTTAAGGTTCATGGAGAATTCTTTTGAAGTAGCTTTGCAAAGTCTCTGTACAATAGTTGGGCTTAGTTGGTTGGTGGCCATGAAAGAATAGTGAAGAAAGGCAAACATTTTCTCATGCTCCTTTTGTGTGGTAAATAACTACTGTGGTGAGGTATGGCCTAAAGCATACAGTACATTATAACTTTGTGATTTCCTGCTGTGGCTTAGGTGTTAGCATTGCTACCTTGCAGTGCTGGGGCCCTGGGTTTAATGTAGGACTTGGAGTGATACCTGTGTGGAGTTACTAGGTTTGAGTGATACTAGGTGTGAGTGTACAAACAACATCTTTAATATTTTCCATTTTCTTAATTGAGTATAGTTAACAATAAAAATATTTTGATGGCAGGTGAACCACATTTTTATGCCTACAGTACATGCAATGCTACCCAGTTTAAAACAGGATTGATTTTGTATGTGCCTGGTAACAACAATTCCAACCATTGCAAATATCACATTTCAGAGTTCCCAGGCCACACATGATTGGGTATCAATCCTACTTCAGTACATCAGAAGGCTGGTATCCTAGTACAGGTGCACTATGAGACCTGTCATGTTTGCTAACATTATTCAGTTGACTAAGTAACCGTTCTAAGTTTCTCTTGTCTGTGTTTACATACTTACTGAATGGCTACTAGCTGTGGTAGTTTTGGCTACACTAAGGCGATGCCCACCTCTATATTTCTGCTACGCAAAATACTGAATAACTGGCACTGAGTCTTAAGAGACTTGTTTTGGGGTGTGTCTGCGTTTACTCAGACTACAGGATCATAATGTATAACTAAAAACAGTTTTTTTCTGTTTCTATTTTGTTTTGGCTAAGATTTGTCTGAAATGTTGTGTTATTCACATTTTTTTCTAGTCACACCACTTCTCCCAGACCTGCCCACAATTAACAGTATTTTTGGGGAAAAGGATGCTCATACTGTAGATGCCCTTTTGTAAAGGTTATATGCAGAACTTCGCTTCTTATTCTACAACAAATTTGTTTAGAGACACTTTTATCATTACAAATAATATTTATTTCAATCAAATGAACATTTTATATTACAATGCAATGTGAATCTTCTGGCAGGAGGCAATTCAAGATTAAAGATTTGAACTGCCACTTAAAATGACTCTCATAAATACACTTTTATTATTATCTATTATCTTTATCCAAGACTCTTTAAAAACTATTTTTATAAAAGAATTATAGAAAATTTGTACAATGAACCATCACACACATGGGTGATTAAAGAAGTGGACCAGTACTAAATCAAAAATGTTTCTACACATGTGGATTGTGCTATAGATTCTTACATGGACACCAAAAGTTTGTCTTCAGGATAGATGGCAGTAAAGATGTACATATTACACAGACCTAAATTCAAGTAAAAGGACATGCCCGTTTCTTTTAACTGCAAACTGTGCTTTAATGTTTTTTAATATTTTATCCTTTTTCTTAATGCTTCAGTCTTTTCCTTTGTGATGATTTCTTGAAATGTTTATGCAAGACATCTTTTTAAATGTTCTTAAAATAACACCAAGGGACACGTGTTAAATTATTTGGACTTAAAAGAGGCAATAGTCCTAGTATTTCAAGGCTCGGCAGCGGCTTAATAGGATTAGAAAGAAAAATCTAATCTTCAAAACAAAAAGAAAACACAAAATTGGGCTATGTGTGGTTACTGAAATGATATTTCTGTTTTTTTGTGTGTGTTCATATTCCTCTCTGTAGTGTGTTCTTTGATTTCTATCTGGTCAGCCGCTCTCCTCAGCTAACCTTGCTTCTGTTAAGATGTTAAAAGTCTTTTCACGGTGCTATCCTTTTGGGGATATTTTCATCTCAGCCCTGTATCAAACAGATGCCCCACTTTCTGGGAAAGATAAACGTATCCTTCTTTATTGCCAAGGTGGCTTTGCTGTTACAGCTCCAGTTTTCTACTCTGGTGACTCCCTGTTGGGATCACCTTTCAGCATCTCCTTTCTCAGAGCACTGCTGCTCATGCCAAGCCCAGGTGATACATCTAGCCTTTCTGAACACAGCCTGCAGACTTTGCGGCTTTCATTGTATGTGTTCATAACAAAACAAACCTCAAGAAAATAAAAGTTCCTGTGCTGGACATTGTGACAATGGTTCTGCTTGAAAACATGTAGTAACACAAATGTTTTAACTGTTACTGACAAGTAGCCATAGTTTAAGGGAGTTCCTTGGATCAGCAGGACATTAGCTGAAGATCCCATGCTGAGGCCTACTCATTCTAAATCATACGGAAGATCTGGATTGATCTCTCATTGTGGCTAAATGTTTTGTATCTCACAGAGCATGTCCCTTTTGGTAGACAGTCTTTCAGCAGCTAAGCTAAGGAGCTGCTGGTGTGCCCTTGGCTCTATGATGTGCAATATGACAAACACAAAGATGTCATTTCACAGTGCTGGCATGAGCCATATTTTTGTGCTATTTTTCTTTAGCATATGAATTAATATCAGATTTGTGAAGATCACCCAGGGGCACCTCACTTTACAATATGGTAACATTGAGTTATATGGAATAGGAGCCCCAAACCACATCTTTACATCCTCAGAGCATATATACTGACGTAATTTATTAATGCATTATTGCAGAGGGAACTCTGAAAATCCCCAAACAGCAAGAGTCACATGTAAGGAGGAACCCCAGCCATGTGCTCATAAAGGATTTCCTTATGGGGTCTTCGTCCACCCCCCTAAATGTTACGTGAAATCACCCACTGGCTAGGACTGTACAGAAGCAACCAAATGAATGTCAGATGTACAACACTTAGGCCCTAGATCACAGTTCTGAAGGATTTGAACATTTTCGTGAACATGTCAGGACTACTACGCACTTGGATCCTTGTGACCAAGTGCAAGAATAGTGTTCCTTTATGTTCAAATATCCCTTTGAAAGCAAGAGGTAGAGGTTTCATGGCTGGGATCCTGAATTTTGCTTCAATGAGCATCTGCGAGCACTAACACTACAGAATAAGCTTCATATAAGTGCCTGAAATGTGTGATGAACATACTTCTTTCTGACATTGAAGGCCCATCTCAGCAATCTGTCACTGGAGCCCTACGTGAAAGGCCATCTGTGGTTCCCTACAGTTGGTCCTAAAACCTAATGCAGCCCAACAATCTTAGGACTTTTCTCTTTAGTGCCAGCCTTTTTTTCCCCACAGATTTTGTTCTGCAAGTATTGTACATGACATGAGCAGTGTATTAGGAAGAGTAGGAATAAGAGATTGTCATCTACCGTTTTTGGGCCATATGTGGTTTTAATTCCCTGCTATCAGCTACATTCAAAGGAGGCCACCAGGTACAATTCCAGGATTCCCAGTGCAGAAATGTGTTGTTTGTAGGGTTTTCATTTTCAGTGGTTGCACTGATGGATGAAAAGAAGTGTTTACAGAATCCCTCACTGACTTACCTCCCTAGTGACCACATAATGATATCATTAAGCATCATTTGCAGCCTGGAAAATTGAACAGCTTAGTGGTGTATTTGAAGTAATGGGAAGGACCTGGAAACAACAAAAATAAAATGAGTATCTTATTTCTTATATACTTTTGTTCAAATTATGAACTAATAAACAACTTATGTATTAATAAACAGTGGTAATGTAACTGTTTGCATTGTTAACTATTGTGGTTACTGAATCAGTTTCAGCATATGGCTAATTTAATTTGTACTGCTGTGTTTCACATTATTTCCCACTCTATTTTCTTTTAAAATGTGGTTATTTCATTGGAAAACATTAATTGGTCATTTGTGTAAACGAGTAAATCCCTTCCAGAAGTCTAACATACCAAATCTAATTGTGTTTCGGAATCATGCAAATGGCTGTGGATACTGATTGCTCTACAGTTAAGATATTAGTGCTGTATCTCTAATTCAGCTGCCCTGTTTTTACACTCAACTACTGAACTGGATTTTAAGAATCTAGTAGAAATTGCTTGAGCAGATTATTACCAATTTAGGTTGGACAACTCAAATTACCCTAGAAATGGCTTCAAGGGGACTAGAGTTGACTGTCAACAGGACATTTGCAAGAATGTGAGAACTTCAATTTCATTTAAGAAATAATGATGGCGATTAGAATGTTCTTAGCTTTAGGAAGCAGTTAGAAATCTCAGAGAGTAAAGATTATTTTCAAGAACATCAAGTAATGTAGGAAAGGCACAAATGTTAAGACATGGTTTTGGTCTGACCTTCTCCTTGATATGAGAGTTGTGTATACATTTGAGGTGAGACAAAAGGGAACCTGCCATCCTTTCATTTTCTTTTTGCACTGTAGCTAAACTGTAGCTCGCTGGCAGACTGCATGTAGTAAGTATAAAAACAGCATAAATGTCCTGGCTGGACATGATATTAGAAATTCAGTGACACGTAAATAAAGTATCACAATGCAAGAGTAGCTGGGAGACCATAAGATTTAATTTCCTTATCTTCCCCAGTCAGAACAATCCCTCATATCCTAAACTCACCAAGATAATTTGCATTATAATAAATTAATTAAAACACAACAACAACAACAATAATAATAATAATAATAATAATAATAATAATAATAATAATAATAATAATAATAATAATAATGTGTCTATCTAATAATAGTAATGTGGCAGTGCTGTGGCCACTGGAGGAACAGTACCTATTGCATCCTTTACTCTGTTCTGCTTTCAGTATAGCCAGCTTAGGCCGTGGGCAGCCAAGTGAAGTGTAGAGCAGGAGCTGTAATTAGGCATAAGGCCTGTGAGAACAGCAGGGAGGGAGCCTGGCTCATAATTCAACTCCTGGCGTTTGGTAATTAGTCCAATTACTCGGAGGGATCTGCAACATGCTAATGCCGCAGCTCAAACCACCTGCTTCTCACCTGTCAGAGTGGCAGAAGAGCTGCACTTGTTCCCTGAGTACCTACAGGTGCAAGCTCTTCGCAAACCACACTGATTGCTCCATCCTCTGCAGTGCCAGTACAAAACCATATAAATATAATAACAGTGTAGTATGCAGTGCAGAAAATACAGTATTCAACAATAAGTGGTAATAAATAGTAGTCATTAATTCAGTTGCACTTAGATGTTAGTTATTTATGTCACATGACACTGGGGGATAAAACCTTTTCATGAAACTGATGGTTGGTGTTTTGATGCTGCAGTATTACCTGCCAGACCATAGAGGTCAGAGCAGTTTGTGTCTGTGGTAGTTATGGTCCTGTTTTATGGCACAGGCTTCATTATGGCAGTGGTTGACATAAATCTGTTCAACTGATGGGAGGTCAGATACTATGAGCTTTTTTGCTGATGTCACAACCTCTGTATGGCCTTCTTATCCTGTATGGTGTACTGTTGTACCATAAAGTAATGCCACCAGTCTGGGCACTCTCTATAGCAATAAAACCTCAAGAGTATCTGCTTACTAATTCCACATTTTCTCAGATGCCTCAGGAAGTTGAGGCACTCTTGTGTCCTTTTCAGAATGGCTTCAGTATTGTGAGACCAAGCCAGGTCATTTCAGATCTGCAACCCAAGCATTCTGAAACCGCTAACAATTTCCACTGATGCTCTATTGATGTTGATCAGAGTGTGGCTCCAGAAGTCTACATTGAGTTCTTTTGTCTTGGTGACATTCAGGGCTTGGAATGAATGTCACAACACCACTTTGTCAGATCTCCTACCTCATTCCTGTACAGTATGCAGACCCATCATTTTTGCTGATCAACCCAGTTAATGTGGTACTATCAGCAAATTGGATGATATGGTTGTAACGGTATTTGCCTGAAAAGTCATAAGTGAAGAGTGAGTACAGTCCTGGATAGAGGCAGCTGAGGTATGTTTCAGAATCAGTGTGGATGAGGTTTTGTTGTCTGTCTTTATCATCTGTGGTCTGCTGTTAGAAAAACCAATATCAAGTTTTGCAGATGGAGTAGCACAGGCCCAGATCTTAAGGTTTCAAACTCAATTTTTTTTCCTTTTGCTGTTACAGGCGTCTGCTACAAGCCGCCAAGAAAGCCAATCAGACAGGGCATTTCCTCTGGGTAGGATCAGATAGCTGGGGCTCCAAAATCTCTCCAGTGCTGCACCAAGAAGAGGTATCAGAGGGCGCTGTCACTATTCTGCCTAAACGTCTCTCTGTCAGAGGTACAGATTATTTGTATTTCTTGTGATGCATGCATTTGTTTTTACTGAATGAATCTAACATGGCACCAGTCCTCTAAAGGCAACAAAATGGACAGAAAACAGCAGGAATAAAGTGTAAGGGTGTCAAAACTGAGACACAGCAGATAATGTACAGTACAGTCTCATCAGTCACAGGTATCTGCTGCATAACTGAGACCTAATTGGCTGACCAAGTAAAGTGCTCCATACTTTCTCAAAAGTATATACTTTTAACAAATCATGCAGGTTTCTAAAAATTCAATAGAATGAAACAATGTGCAACAGTTAGTGAATCATTGAACATTTCAATATTGAGATTATTGTTTGTCAGCAGGTGTTTAGCAGAAGCAAAGTCAAGGTGAAACTGTGTCAAAGCATTATATGGGGACTCATTATTATTAAAAGAACCAAGTGTAGTTCCAGGGGAAAAGCTTCATGTTTAACTGGTAATTGTGTAGTTGTGTGCAGAATAAGAATACACTCACCTGACAATTTCTTTAAATACAAAAATGTTCAGCAGCCCAGAACCATCCAGATTTAATAACAATATTGTTTCTGTTAACTTCAGGTTTTGACCGGTACTTCATCAGCCGCACACTGGATAACAACAGGAGAAATATCTGGTTTGCTGAATTCTGGGAAGATAATTTCCATTGCAAACTAAGCCGCCATGCCCTCAAGAAAGGATCCAATATCAAAAAGTGCACAAGTAAGTGTCCTCAGTTTATATATTTCCCTGGGTTAATCTGTTCCTTTCAGAGCAAGTTGAGATTTATTTTTCTTTGTGTGGCTGGACATTTAAAATACAGTGGAAAAACACACACACACACACATTGATTAGTTTTAGAATCCAAACCTGGGGTATCAGATGAGTTATTTGACATTATAAGACAACTTCTTTTAAGCTTTGAGTAGTCTTGCCCATTACTACTTTGCTGTTATTTCATTTAAAGTTATTCAGAAGGTTATGGAGTTTCCTTCACTTTCTGCTGAAACGATGCTCTTGCATTGCAGCACCACACATTAGAATTTTGAGGGAAACCTGGATTTTTGGCAGGGTGTTGCATTCCACGTACGTCTAATGTCAGCATACATATAACGTCAATACTGTACCCAAGCTGTTTATATTATGAAACAATAATTTAAGATCATGATCAAAGTTAAACATATACTGTAGGTTTTCAGTAATGTACCATATTTAGTATCGTTCTAGGTTCAGACTGTCAGGTCAAAGACAAAGTCTTAGTGATCACTTGGTGTCAATTATCTCATTAAATATCAAACTGTAATATTCAAATACAGCTTTAGAAATTATAGTTTATTATAGATTATTATCTTCTAAAAAGCTATAGAAAGAAACTTGAAAATAAATTTGACTCATGTGTCTTTGTACATTGTGGCTAACTTCACAATGGTCACCCAAAGAAGGCTCCACAGTTGAAACATTGTGCTTCCTTTCTTTTCTTTTCAGCATGGAATAATCCTTTACTTGTTCCTATAATGAATGATGT